CTCTCTCTCTCTCTCTCTCTCTCTCTCTCTCTCTCTCTCTCTCTCTCTCTCTCTCTCTCTCTCTCTCTCTCTCTCTCTCTCTCTCTCACTCTCTCTCTCACTCTCTCTGGCAGAGCAAAAAGAAACCCAATTTAAAAAAAAATAAAAAAACAGAACCACATGACGCAATGCGGGCAGAGTCGTAGCCCTCAGATATTCACAGGCATCTGATGATAAAAGGGAATATACAAAAACAGTATGGCGAAAGTGTGTAAAGAGAGGATTCACAGTAAAATTTAGCTTCAACCTGCCGCAGTCATCACGTTCTGGTGTCGCGAGCTCGCTCACAGCACAATGAGAACACTTCACACTCAGAGATAATGAAGCAGGGTTGGGACCAAACAATGTCTGCACAGAAAATCAAAGACATTTCAGGATTGTTTTTTTAACTTCTTTTCTTTCTTTCTTTCTTTCTTTTACGAGCTCAGTGGCAGCCAAGTCAGACGCACTAGTGTGTGTGGGAGTGTGTGTGTGTGTGTGTGTGTGTGTGTGTGTGTGTGTGGTGCAGACAGCTTGTGCTTTATTACCCTAACATGTTTACCTGCTTAATCATTCTAGGATAATTGCATGTTAACATTGCAGCACAGGAGATGAATTAAGACTTCCCATATTTAATTAGCAGGTAATTTTGAATGTGGACTCAAACATCTCCTTTACCTGTAGAAAGACCTCTTCTCTCCCCCCCCACCCCCGAGGGGAACCTGCTGTACTCAAGCTGTGTTTAAACACAGGAGCAAAAAAAAGGAAATACATCCTGTACTTATTTAACAGTAGATCAGGAAGCAGTGACAAACATGGAAAATTTAAGGATTTAACATATGGAAACCAGTTTGTGCAGAGCAGGCAGTGGTGTGACACACAAATGTCAAAACCTGGTGTGAAGATCACCAACCAAGTATGAAATACGTGCAGAGAGGCCGTCAAGTTTAACATAAGCTCTTTGAAAATGCCCTCTGCTATAGTCATTACATTCAGCTCCTGCACAAGGAAGGGTGTGTGTGTCTGCGTGTGTGTGTCTCCTATTATGAGTGTATTAATACTAACTAATACTCTGCAGATGTTCATCCGACGCAGTAAAATCTGTAAGGAGAACATCTTGGATGAATCTCTGCTGGAGCCGTTCCCAGAGTGCAGCTGTCGCCGTGTCCAGTTGAATTCTGTTCACATCATTTCCCCCCTCCTCTCCCCGCAGACAATACCTGTCTAAAATAAAATCACTGCCAGTGCATAAACAAATGCAAATTTGGACGTGGGGTCTATTCAGGGAAGCGTCTAATAATCCCACCCATCCTCTTTTTTATGCCCTTTTGCTCTCTGCGCTCCTTTCACTCTTTTTAGAAAAGTCTTTGATGCTGTTTCCAGAGGTGTTTTTTTCCGCTTGCTATCATCCATTGTTCGACACGTTGGTTTGAAACCTACGACGAAAGTTTGTCTTTATTGTGTGTGAAAACCGACTGTGATGACACCCTACAAAATGTCAGCCTTGCACTCGAAAGCCTCACGGTGTTACGCAGTAAATAAACCCCTCATATAACTGGACCCCTTCACTTCCATACTGCTACTTGAACTTAGTCATTGGGCTGCACAAAATTAGTGTACACTGTTCTGAGTGTGTGTGTGTGTGTGTGTGGTTGTGGGTGTGGGTTTGTGTTGCTCACATAATACTGATACACTGTGTAAAAATATGTGTCTCAGAAATGTTCTTTTTTGAAAAAAAAAAAAAAAAAGACTGCTTGCTGCTGAACCCTTTCACCTGCTGGGTCCAGGATTCAGTCGTCCTTGATTTGTCCTTTAGCTCCCTCTCAAACTGCTAAACACATCATTTCGCTGTCATTCTCCTTCCACCTCAGACAATTTGTGCAAAGCATCCCACGGGCTGAATTATGGTTAATTGCAAGGACAGACAATCCTTCGGATCGACTGAATCCAGGCTGGATGTTACAAGCTTCCACTTTTGTCTTATTTCAGTGATTTCGTTGTTTCTGCTGCAATTGAAAAAAAGCATCTGTTTTACTTTTTTTGCACATCAGCTGTTCTTAGGCCAGATAGCCTGAGCAGACACACTTGATGTGAGTGGTGGCAAAGTGAGTCATTGCACCGTGCCTGTCTGTCGTGGTGTGTGGGGGTTGTTGCTGTGCTTGTGGGGCCTCAGTGCAGAGAGGTGGCGGCCATCTGTGTTCAGCATTACTCTCTTGTCTTGCCGTCTTTTAACAGGTGGAATGTTTTTCTCATTGTTTGTGTCACTTCCTCATCAGCTTGCATCCATTTGTTTCTTTTGCTCTCATCCTGTTTGCTGCTTTCTGTGTGCTTCTGTGTTGTTACCTGCTCATACGCTACATTACAACATGATGCTATAGTATTGTTTTTAAGTTTTGAGTCATTGCTTGTTCTCATTTCTCCAATATTGTTCAGGATCATTTCTTAGATTGGCTAAATACATATTCAGCCAGAAGGAGGATGGACATTTTGGAGAGCTAATTGGTTTCTTTTTGGGATTTTTTAAGTTTCTGTATCTGGATGAAATTAAAATTAACGCAGAGATTAAAGAGCACAAGAGTGAAGTGTCCTGAGCAGTATCAAGTATGTGTGGATGGTGTAGTGGAGACGGTTTTGTTTTGGTCTGTCAAAAATAAATAAATTTTACCTCACGCGTTCCCTTTGCCTTTCGTTGCAGGACAGCACTCTCTGAGCAACAGCAGGGACATCAGTGCCATGGACACCCTCCCCCTCAATGGCAATTTCAACAACAGCTACTCCCTGCGAGAAGACGACTATGAGGCCGTGGCTGTTCGGGCTGCAGGTGACCTGGGGGCCCTCAACCTGGACGATGTCGCCTTTGAGAAGATGATCATTTCTGAGATTGTTCATAACAACCTCAGGCCCCGCGGGGCCCCCAAAGGTCGCGACGCCCCGAGGGACAGAGCCTTGCCTCCCCAGACCAGAGTGACAGTGGACCGAGGTGGGGGTGGGAGCGGCAGCGAGGATGACGCCATCGTGGCGGACCATGCCGAGGCTTCATCCCCGCAGAGAGGAAGTGGAAGAGGAGGCCACGCCACCCTGGAGCTGCTCCTGCACCCCCACCACAAGGAGGCACTGGAGGCCCCCCTCCTGCCTCAGAGGACTCACTCCCTGCTCTACAGCAATCAGAAGGCCCCCAGGCGCCTGGAGGGGCAAGGTGGCCATGGCTCCGAGACTGTTACCGCAGTGGAGGACACGGGATCCCATTCACCCAACAACAATAGAGACTCGCTTTACACCAGCATGCCAAACCTGAGAGACTCACCCTCGCCCTCCGCTTCGCCATACCCCCCAGAGGAAGAGGAGGAGGACGATGAGCTCTCCCCCTCTCCTCGAAGCGAGAGCGAGGACGCGTATCATAAAAGCATGCCCGAGCTCGGCGACGCACCGCAGCCCCTGTCCTACTACCACATAAACCGAGGCATCAGCGACGGGTGCATCATCTCGCCCAACAACGAAGAATGTGCGCAGGAGGGAGAGGCAACCACCGACGGACAAATGCAGCTCATTACCAGCCTCTAAGCAGGCCGTCTTTGTTTGCACAGGTTTCAACAGATGGGTACTTTTGGTTGATGTCAAGAGAGCCGGCGAGTCTGGCTCCGCACTCCGCACGCTCTTCCTGTTACAACAGGAAGTGAAATGTTGTTGGGTGGGAAGAGGAATGAATAAATGACTTTTGCACACAGATCTCATTAACACACGAAACACGTCCATGCGATTCCAGACAAATGTGGTCTGTGAAAACTCTGCTGTTGGACTAAAGAGGTGCAGAGAATAACACACAGGCCGCTGTCACACAGATAAGTCTGTCTCATTTCTGTTGTACTGAAAGAAGAGTTGAAGAACAAGGGATAAAAAAAAAAAAAATGTAAAAAAACTCAGAGCAAAGAACTATGAAACTCCTGACATATTCCTGGGGGACTTTGCTGAACCAGGGTCTTTTTAGTCATAAAATACAGAACTAGAACTAGTGTGGCTCCAATACACAGTCAGGACTGTAAAGTTAAGAAACCACTAATTCAGACTCAGGCCTTATATTTTCTCTATTGCACATTTAACTGTTGTCAAAGTAACAGCTAAAGAAAATATATTTTGCTGTACCACTAGTGTAAAAAGTTAAAAGGAAAAAAGAAAAAAAAAGAAACAACAACCATTCAGTAGTTATACCCTTTCAATGTTAATACAATTCTTCAGACAAGGTTAATTAAAATGGTGGAAATGTGCTTTTTCCTCTCACACTTGACTCGTTGTATGTTTGCATTTAAAAAAAAAAAAAAGTTTTGAGAGATATCAGTCCATATAAAATCATGCTCACGTCTCTGCTTGTGAAGTGCTTTTGCTTTCATGAATGATGAGTTTTTTGCCAGTAGTATATTTGTTAACACCGGGGCCATGCACAGATTTGGAGTGAATTGGATTCTTGTGTAATTTATTTTACTTGAAATTGTCAGGTTTTAAGGACTTATGTTCGTGTCGATGCGATATTGCAGTGTTTGCAGACATATTTCATCCCTTGACACTAATTAATTTATTAACTGAAGTATTCAGAGAGAAAAAAATGGGGGGGGGCGAATGTGGTAGGAAAGTGTGAAAAGTTGTTGCAGCACTGATTAGGTTCATTTTATTTCTTTTGTAAGAGCCCATCATCAGCTGATATTTAAATCAACTCCTGTTTGATATCAAATAAATGTGAAATTTTTTCTTGTTCGCAGATGTCTCAATTATTTTTCTCATTTTGTCTTCAAAATCTTAACATGTGGTAAAAAATGACGATTAAAGGTACAGTGTGTAGAATGTAGGGACGTCTAGTGGTGAAGTTGCATGTTGCAGCTGAATACCCATCAGCTCACCCCCCCTTCCAAACATGACAGAAAGCATGTAGAAACCTTCAGTTGTCATAAAAACTCAAAAGGAGTTTATTTTGTCCTGTTTGGACTACTATAAAAAACATGGCGGCCTCCGTAGAGAGGACCCCCTCGATGTAAATATAAAGTATTTAAATATAAAGGGCCTTTTCTGGGGTAAAGAAAATAACAATTCATACAATTTTGATGCAACACACCAGTGAAAACATCATGAGGATTATTTGATATTGAATTTGTGCCATAATTTTCTCCCAAATCTTACACACTGAACCTTTAACAGATAACACTTAAGATATTGTACATTTTTGTTATTTGCAACAAATACAAAACAAATATTGTGTTACTGTCTGACTGTCCCGGCCACTGTCAGTCAGGAATCTTTACGAATACAAGTCACTAATTATACTTTCATTTGAAAAGGAAAAAATAGGACATTCTGTAATTTTAGTAAATTTTACTCTAATAGAAAGTAAATGTTTCAGGTATTACACATATTCACACCATTTTATACTGAGTGTAGACTGTAAATAAAGATGGACGACATGAACGTTCCCTAAAAGTGAAGCCGAAATGTTTCCATCAAGTGTTATTTTTTGGGTTAAGTTTGGTTTTAATTAGTTATTTGATGCTATAAAAACGGAGTGAAACAGTATGATTGACAGTTCTGACTGACTCATGATTGGTTGAGCACTTGTATCGGCAGGATCTTGCTACTGCTGCTCCACTTCAAGTGTCAGATGGCAGTGTTTGTATTCAGGACATGTTTCTGCACAGATGGAGGTTAACGTTGTTAATCTTTATATACAGTCTACAATGTCTACACAATACCTCAATAATGAAGGCGAAGATATGATTCAGCTGACAAACACATGTCTCTGTGAATATGATTTCAATATGACTTCAACTTTTACATTTATAAAAATGTCTCAAATATAAGGATTGACCTAAAGCAATGCATCACTGGACCATTTGAACATTTGACTTCATGCATTACATTGTCAAGTAATGAATTACAGATCTGAGAACTGTATTTTGCAAAATTTTCTTACAATTGAGCCAAAGCAACTGAGGAAAAGTGTGAAGAGACTTGACAGAACACTGGAAGTGTATCACAGAGGAACAAAGCTAATTCTGGCTTTGGCTGCAGAGGCATCACTGGTTAGTCATGGCTGTATTAATCTGGGCCCTGCAGCAATACGTTGTTTTCGGGTCCTCACACTGATCCTCACTGTACTGTGGCAGTTTTAATATTTAATCAGGATCCCAGAAATAAAACCAGCCAGTGCTAGAGAGCTGAAACTTCGAGTTAATTAATCAATTCTAAAATACTAAAAAGATTCTTTGACGCCAGTGTTGTGTATTTGCCACTTTTCTATGAGAGTGAAAGTGATTTTTAGACTAAAAACAAACAGTGCAAAGTAAAAATCTTCACCTGGTTTTAAAGGAACTGTCCAGAATTACGCCCAAAAATATCAAAAATCACAGGAATAAAAAAAAGGCTAATTAAAGACATAACTTGGTCCTTTAAAGAGGTCAACAAAACAAAACTCTACTGAAAAAACACTGTCACCAAACCAGGACATGAACTCAAACACCTACCAAATGTTCAGATGATCAGACCATTTGGGTGCGAAGGGGGAAAACAAAATAGGCAACTAAAACTTCACTCAAAGAAAGCCCCCCATGCTGATGCAACACTTGATCCTGTCCATTTCACTGGGCCTCTGTATTTAAACAGGCTCCACCCACACCCTCATCTTTTGCCCAAACCAGGAAGAAGGAGTGGTGCCGCGGAAATGGTAAGAAAACTAAATTAATACGACTATAAGGACAAAACTGTGTAAACTAACTGTGCCCGCCTCATTCAAACCTGTGATAGTGTCTGAAACCATGAACGTGAATTTAATCCATATAATGTGATGAGTGAATTTTACCATTTATTTGAACTGTGTGGCTGCAGATTCAGCTACCACATGAATAATGTTTCACTACTTCTTTCTCCTATGATAGATTAATGTACCTTTCCTGAGATTTGCTCAGTGTTCTGAGAGTCTATTAACTCAATGTAAAGTAGAATAGTTCTCAGCAGAGTTCATACTTACACCAAGGCCCAACAGTCTCTTTACACTAACACGTTTAAATTCCCTAGATCTTCATTTGGATCTGCACCCGACTGAACACACTCATGAATACATCCTAAACATGCCCGGTTGTTTTTTCATCAAGATCCATGAAATATTCTCTAAAAATCGAGAAAGATCTCGCAATGGTAAGAAAAATCCTGGACCAAATTAAAAGGTTCTTTCCTGACCCATACAGCACCCTTCCACCAAGCCTAAAATAATCTGTTCAGTAGTTGTTGCATAATCCTGCTAAATAACAGACAAACAAACATATGCAGAAGAAAAAATAACTTTCTCTTGCATGTTACGAAAACAATAAGGTCTTAAAATCTGTTCTTGACATTAGGCCCCTCTACAAGACTGGGCCTCAAGATGGAGGATGATTTACAGATCATAGCTGATGCACTTTCTTGCTATGTAGACCAAACTGATGTGTAGTTAACCCTTTGAGGCCTCTGGACAGTTGCCCTGTCAGTAATCTACCCTTGTTGTAGTAGCATCACTTCATTGTTGCTTTCACTTCTTTTTATGGGAGTTGTCAACCATAATAAAATATCACCAGGCTTTTATGGCAGTAATTAATTATGACTTTAACACGATGGGCCATAATCATTTTTGATCAGTCTCTGTGTCCAAATCACTTGGAGTGCTGAGGTGCAGCACATCATCCGGGAAGGAGACAGGCTGAAGGAGACTCGCGTCACAGACTTTAGCAGATTTTCGTCTTTCACCCTCTGCTTTCCAGGAGTGCTCGTCTCCGACTGACCACACAGAAGCTCGGCAGATATACAGTACATGCAGTCACCGGAGGATCTGGGTGGTGCACTTTATTAGTTTGAGCCGGGTGCCAGTTTGCTGTCAGGAGACTGACGTGGAGGCCAAGGCAAAGCTCTGAGTCCACTGTGGCTCTCCCGCCTCGTTGTTTGAACATCAGCCTCTCGGTTTACACAGAGCCATCCAAAAGCCCGGGGAGACACCAAATGGGTCTGTAAATTATATGGAAACTTGGCTTCCGTTCAGCTATAAATCAAATTAAATGCAAAAGTTGACGACCCGCTTACGGTTCACCAAGAATGGGCCCGGCATTGTCTATGAGCGCTTCCTTATTACAGACACTGGAGAGTCGACATGGCAGCTCGCAACTGACGAGCCCTGCGGGGTGAGTGTGATGTCACGGCGAGGAGGGGTGAAGTTTCCTCGTCTGCATTTTCATAACAGACAAAATTGTGATGAATGAATGAGCCGGGCTCCCTCTCCCAAGCATAAGGATCGGTTTTGCGTGATGCATATATATTGGTTCATTATCACTTAGTCACCTGTGCTCTGTATAAGCTCTCTCAGCCTATGATCTAAAAGAACATTGGAGTCTGAAATTGAACAATATACAGTGTAGATGCTCACATCCTCTCAACCAATAAGATGGGAGGGGGGGGGGGCTGTGGTCCCCTTATCCTGTTGTAGTGATCTGTGGCCATTCATCCTCTCCACTGATTCTGCCCCCCACCTTTGACTCCTCTCGAGCTGCTGACATTACCTTCTGCGATCATCTGATTATGCTACTTCGCGACGCATTACCCGTGCGGTGTTTGCGTCTGCAAATGAAAAAGTTGTCAGAGTTTGTTGGGAGATGAAAGCACTTCATTTATCTGCTCATCTTTTATCTGCTCCCAGTCAAAGCTCGGCTTCCGTGGGGCAGAGGCAAATGAAAAGTGCAATAAGGCTCAGTCCGAGAAGACATTACCGTGTTTTCATTTGGATCTGTTTGATGTTCCGGCCTCTGGTGATTTGGACATTATTTCATGTCCATCATCAAAAAAACATCAAACAAGATACTGCATTCAAAATCAGATCACAGAGCCGCGGCCGAAATGCGGTGTGTGTGCACGTGCTGAGCGAGCGTAGCTGATACTGTACATACTCTTGTAAGCATGAGCACTTAAAAGCGATTTATTTATTCCTCCATGTTTATCCCAAACTTTTCCCGGAATGAGCATTATGTTCTGCATTAATACAAATCTTTTTGACCCGCTCCGCCGAGGTCTTGCCTAAAAACATATATAGTGTTATTATTAAAAATGAAATGGTGTTCCTACAGACAATGTTTATATTCGTGGATAGTAATCTCTTCTCTAGCTGGTGCAGGAACTATGCATAATTACATTAGCACAGCCACAATGGAGAAGGAGTATTATATTTCCTCAGGGCCTCTGTGAATGTACAGCTTACATTCCTCTGCATTTCACTCTGCAGCAGGAAGATAAAGAACATCTGAATCGCTCCTGCTCGGCTGCCACCGTCCCACCGAACAACGCAGCGTCGCCTTGGCTGACTCAACTTCTCTGTGTGCGTTTAAAGCCCCGGTAAAGACCGAGAAGTGCTGCCAGCAGAAACGGCAAGACAAGACGAAATCAGGTCCTGTCACATTTTCATACAGGCTGGGGCGCTTATAGGCTGTGTTATAGGCTGGATGAAGCTGTGTGAGCATAGGGAGAAGCTGCACACACACCATGATAGAAACCACAACACGTTGCTGTAAAGATCCTGCTCTGCTGTTAAAATTAGCGGGTTGCTGCATAATCTTCCGATGCAAGTATATTTCAATTTAACTGCGCTGTCATTTTTCTTTTTTTCCTCATTTTAACCTTGTGATATTTCTAGTTTGTTGTTTTAATGCTTGTTAGAATATCACCACAACTCGCTCCATGCAACAGAGGCACTTTT